GCATTGATCCAAGAACCATGGATAGTGGACAATGCCATTAAGGGCCTCAGTGGTTGTGGCAAAATCTATCACGCAAACACTCAGGAAACAATTAGATCTTGTATTCTTATTAAAGGACTAGATTCTTTCATCTGTTCACAGGCTAGTGAGGGAGACCTGGCTGTGGCACAAGTGGATCTGGGCCTGGGACAAGGCGAGGAAATGAGCCTGGTTGTAGGGTCAGTTTACATGCCCTATGACTCGGCTGAACCACCTCCTTCGAAAAAAGTAAAGGACCTATGCAACCATGTGAAGGAAAGGGGACTTGAACTCCTGCTAGGTTGTGATGCCAACTCGCACCATGTAGCATGGGGGAGCACCGGCATTAACGGCAGGGGGGAAAGCCTCCAGGAATTCATAATGGGGGCCGGTCTAAACATCCTTAATAGGGGGTCAGAACCTACCTTCATAGATCGGAGACGACAGGAGGTCATAGATATCACTCTGGGGACGGATAGAGTGGCAGACATGATTGGGGACTGGAGGGTCTCAAAGGACCTCTCAGCGTCCGATCATCAAACCATAAGAATGTCCATCCACACAGTGAAAGAAACGGAATGGGTGAGAAACCCAAGACGAACAAACTGGGGAAATTACCGAGAGAGTCTATCTGACAATCTCAGGGATATCATCCTCAGATTTAACAACAAAAAGCAGCTGGAGGAGGCTTCGATTGCCCTAAACCAGGCCATCATGGACTCCTTCGAGACAAACCGCAGGCTAATCCCGAAAGGGCAGCCTACTGAGACTCCTGGGTGGTCAGAGAAACTCGGTGGGCTGAGGGGCAAGGCTAGAAAAGCTTTTNCACGCAGTAAAAGAAACGGAATGGGTAAGAAACCCAAGACGAACAAACTGAGGAAATTACCGAGAAAGTCTATCTGACAATCGTAGGGATATCATCCTCAGATTTAAGGAACAAAAAGCAGCTGGAGGAGGCTTCGATTGCCCTAAACCAGGCCATCATGGACTCCTTCGAGACAAACTGCAAGCTTATCCCGAAAGGGCAGCCCACTGAGACTCCTTGGTGGTCAGAGAGGCTCGGTGGGCTGAGGGGCAAAGCTAGAAAAGCTTTTAACAAAGCTAAGAACATGAGAGCGGGCCCCCGTAAGGAAGACGCATGGAAAACTTACAGAGGCTTGCTCGCAGATTACAACAAGGCAATAAAGGCAGCCAAAGAGGACTGCTGGAGGGCTTTCACAAGCAATGTGGAGAGTCAATCGGAGACCTCTAGGCTGGCAAAAATCCTTGGAACAAACAAGACTCCATATCTAGGGAGCCTACAGGCACCAGATGGCAGCCACACGGAAACCATGGGAGAGACTCTGAAACTCCTAATGAACACCCACTTTCCAGGCTTCATACAGGCCCAGGAGAGAGATAAAGAAACAATGCAAAATCAGAGGGATGTCTACGAAACCCATGATTGGGCATTGGCAAATAAAGTAGTGCAGCCCTGGGGGGTCAAGTGGGCCATCAAAACCTTTGAACCCTTCAAGGCACCGGGACCAGACGGGATCTACCCAGCCCTATTACAGGAAGGGATAGAGACTATCACGGGACCCCTAACCAAGATACTCAGAGCTAGTATAGCCCTGAAACATGTCCCTAAGTGTGCGGAATGAGACTAGGATAGTATTCATTCCCAAGCCTGGAAAAACCGCTTATATAAAACCAAAAGACTTCCGTCCTATAAGCCTCACATCCTTCATCCTGAAGACCCTGGAGAGGCTG